GCATTATGGGATATGCTGGGCCGGGAAGGATCCATCAGACCTGTCCTTCGATTTGGGGAAAAAGGACGTATTTTTCGACCGCATCGGAGGAGTCTTCCGTTTTGGACGTCCTTCGTCGCGGCGCTGTGACGTATGCGGCCGACAAATTCGACCTTCGGAGGACCCGTCCTGCCGTTTTGGACACAGCCATTGAAGACTCTGTATAAATGGATCAACTTCCTGTTTTGCCGGCAGAGTGTGGTTTCCTGTCAGCTCCAGTGACAATAAACCCTCACTCCAGAATTCTGGTTTTGTATGGTTTTATTCCGTCTAACAATCATATTAATTAACAGTGGTGGTTTTCTATTGACTTCAGTCTTTGAACACGAATATTTCTTACACTGTGATTCAGAAATACCTTTTTATCCCCTCCCCTGGCCTATGAAGAGACTACTTTGCAAGTCTGTGGTATTTTTTTCACCTAGAAGTTAAAATTAGACATAGCTCTAAGATGTTTAAAATAAATGTATGTGTAAACCAATACAGGAAGTAAACTGAACCTTGTACACAGTTCTCGCTGCTAACGGTATAGGCTGAGATTTAAGTATTAGTTATCGAGCTGTTAGGATTTAACAAAATAAAAACATCAAATAAGATTCAGTTTTGTTCCCCTCCCCTCATTATTATATTACACTATTGTAGTTTATTAAATTTATTTCCTTTAGAAAAAAAAGTTTTTGTCCTGTTATGTGGTGCACTTTCATTTTTTAATGAGTAAAAACAGTTTATCTGATAACAGACACTAAAATGTTAATAAAGCGTTAGGTTGTCCTTTTTTGGCTTAAGTGTTTTCTTTTTTTTTTTTGTTTATAATAACCTTGAGGATAGTATTTGCAGATTTATTTTGGAGAAAAGGCAGAAGAATAACTAAAGGTTTTTATTACCGGTATAAAACAACAAAACAAAATAAAAATAAATCTAATTTCTGGTTAAATTTAGTCAGAGCTTTAAAAAAAAGTCCCAAACTGGAACTGACCTGTAAAACCAGCACTGCATCTAAATCAGGGCTGGTCCTCAAGGGCCGATTCCCTGCATGTTTTACTGGTTTCTCTGCTCCAGCACGCCTGATCTGAATAAATGGGTGATCGCCAAGCCTCTGCAGAACTTGAAGAGGTAATTCAATCACTGAATCAGGTGTCGGAGCAGAGATACAAGTAAAATAGAGGTGCACGATTTATCAACTGAGCATCGTCATCCCAATGCATGTGTGCGCAATAGTCACGTTTCAGGTCCTGTGAAGTAGGAGACAAATTAAAACAATGTATTATCTAAGGACTAAACCACTACAACAGAAGCCACTGCACTAAACAGTTGCAGCTTTTATTTTGATGAGTTTCTTCTGGTGCAAGCTAGGCATGGGCCGAATATTGGTTTCAAGGTATACCGTGATATGAAAAAGTCACGGTTTCAAAACCACTAAAATTTTCTGTCATACCGTGCCAATGGTATAAGAAATTTTTGTTTATTCTTCCTCGGGTCTGTGCCGCTGCAGACCTTCCCCCGCGCACTCCCGCAGCAGACTGCCTGTCGGCACTCGCAGCTCTGCGGGGGTTGTTTGATGGTGGCTGAAGAGCAGAGTTCTCCAAACTTTTCCCGTCTAAAATAATAAATCCAGCTACCGTATTTTTCGGACTATAAGCCGCGACTTTTTTCCTGAACTTTGAACCATGAGGCTTATAGACCGGTGCGGCTTATAGTCCGAAAAATACGGTAGCTGGATTTATTATTTTAGA